TGTGGGGGTGTTTTTCAGCTGCAGGGACAGGACGACTGGTTGCAATCGAGGAAAGATGAATGCGGCCAAGTACAGGGATATCCTGGACGAAAACCTTTTCCAGAGTGCTCTGGACCTCAGACTGGGCTGAAGGTTTACCTTCCAACAAGACAATGACCCTAAGCACACCGCTAAAATAACGAAGGAGTGGCTTCACAACAACTCCGTAGCTGTTCTTGAATGGCCCAGCCAGAGCCCTGACTTAAACCCAATTGAGCATCTCTGGAGAGACCTGAAAATGGCTGTCCACCAACGTTTACCATCCAACCTGACAGAACTGGAGAGGATCTGCAAGGAGGAATGGCAGAGGATACCCAAATCCAGATGTGAAAAACTTGTTGCATCTTTCCCAAAACGACTCACGGCTGTATTAGATCAAAAGGGTGCTTCTACTAAATACTGAGCAAAGGGTCTGAATACTTATGACCATGTGATATTTCAGTTTTCTTTTTTAATAAATTTGCAAAAATTTCTACATTTCAGTTTTTTTCTGTCAAGATGGGGTGCTGAGTGTACATTACTGAGAAATAAAATGAACTTTTTTGATTTTTGGAAAATGGCTGCAATGAAACAAAGAGTGAAAAATTTAAAGGGGTCTGAATACTTTCCGTACCCACTGTATACACAGTCAGGTGAACCTGAACCCACCCTTTGATGGCTGGAATCTGTTTCATGTTCACCCTTTTCTTTTTAGCCTTTTGTGTTTATGTCTGTCAGTTTTCCCCTTGAGGAAAGAATCCTTCCTTTTTGGACGAGGCTTATCATTATTATATACTCAAAGAAGTATGCCTTTAATGCGGCAGGGCTACATGCATGAAGGTGTATGCATATAATATAGTATTGACTAAGGCACATTCCACATGTCATACCACCATCTTAACAAATAGATGCAGATATTAGACACACAAAGAGTTCTCCCCATGTTATCTCATACTGATCTGCCTTCAGACTCAGGAGTCTTCCAGGGCATGGAGATAAGCCACCCAGACTTTCATCTTTTTAAATATTTTTTTTCTGTCTCTAACTATAGTCTTTTTTAAGGTCTCTGCATGAACTTGCTAGAGCATTCAGCTTATAATTTCCTTGAATTTAACAAAATTGTCACTTTTTTAAATTATATTCGTGTTAATTTAACTGGAATTAATTTCCATATAATGGGTCATAGAGAGGCACCTTGTCATGGTGGAATGGTCATGGTAAAATCATTGATTGACCTGTTAGTTTTAAACAGGCATTATACTGTACTCAAAAAAAACAAAAACAAATCTGTAATCTGCCCGAGGTGCTTTATTTCTTATGTCATATAAATGTGAATTGAATTGTAACTTGGAATTTTATGAGCAGTAGAGTGATTTATCACTAGACATTATCCCTAAAACTGGGTCTCTCACCTCCTGGCTGCTGGCGCTGACAAACTAGTCTGAACAGGTTGATACAGTCATTAGGAGGCTGTATGGGTTTCAAGAGATTCTTCTCTGCTGTTTTATGTAACTGTAGGGAATTTCTACAACCTGTGTTTGTGATACAGCAGATCAAAGTCGATCTAGTTTATTGCTAGTAGAAGGCTATGATTAATTACATAGAGGGATCACTGTCAAGGGGGTAGCTGAGTAAAGTGGCAGGGAACTGAGGGTTGTGGACCCAATTGCAGACAACAGCAAGGCGAGAGGAGGATGCAGTTCAAAATAAGGTTTATTAAAATAACTAAACAGGCTTATGTGGAAGCTTGGTACAAAAGTCCAAACAAAGGTAATCCAGAAGAGGGTAAATCCAACACAAAGACAGAGTAATCCAAAACAGGGGAACAAACCAGAAATCCAGGGAACAGAGCACTAGGCAGAACACACATAGACGCAAGGACATGACAAAGACTGAAGACAACTGAAGACAATATATACACTGGTAAATGAGCAGGGAGGGAGATATATCAGGTAATCAAACAAATCTAGACAAGGACACCAGGTACAGAATATTACCAAAATAAAACAGGAAGTAAAGTTCACAGGAACACACAAGGACAGATCTACCAAAGTAAAACACAAAACATGGAAAGACAGCAAAATCAGGACACGCACAGAGACGGGACCAAACAGGAGTCTAACATGGAGATATAAGACTAAGACAGACCATAACAATAAATCACAGAAGTACACAGATCAGGAAAACACTAAACATGAACAAAAGCACAGGACTAAGGAAATTATGGCAAAAAACAGAAAACCACAGGGAAAAAGTACAGCTAATAACAACCACAATGTTAAAAGGATTCTTTGACAAGCCTGGTTCAGGCTGAAGGTACCAAAATCCACCAACCGGCCCCTCGAAAGCTCATTAACATGTTATATCTTGTTTGTTTAGTTTGTACAAAACAACAAGTTATGGTTTCACGGGGTGGGGGGGGGGCCTCGAACTGCATTTAGTCTGTTGTTGCAAAAGCAATTCCCCACTGCGATAAACAAAGGTGACACTTGAGGTTTTACTTGGTCACAGTTTCCCTTCAGTGGAGATCTTAATTTCGTACCTTTCCTTCGCAATCAGGATATCCCGTATACGACACGACCACCAAATCCCCTGCAGGACCTATTGTGGGTAAGTCCATGAAAGAAGATTTTGCAGTGTCTCAAACCACTATTTAGCTTGACAGATGTTCTTAAACAATCATTTGAAATACTATTACCTTTGAACATCTTTCTTTGTGTATTTCTTAGCCATCACCTTTTTTCTGTTTCATTGCATAGTGCCCACTGCCTGCCCTCCGGGTTATTTTGGCTCCCCAAGCTGTCAACGTGAGTGTGATAAGACCTGATATGTTGCGCTACTATAGAGACGTTTCCACGGCTATGCTACGTTGACTGCTTTTATTGCTGCTCCACATTTGCATTTACTGTATCTAAAAACATACTACTGGTAGTGAATCCTCTCAAAGAGCTTTTTTACTGGGCAGCCCTTGACTTTTGCCCTTGACACTTGAGTAACATTTACTTAAAGGCAGACTGAGTTGTTAAAAAAGGGCTTTAGAGGACCATGTAAGGCACTACTCAGCCTGACTTGGTTTTCTGCAGAGTTAAATGTTAAGAACATGTGGCAGGGGTCAGTCAAGAAAAGAATTTTGTATATAGTCATGACTGAAGGTCAGGTCATGTTTGTAGGCTTCATGGAGAACTGGCAGTATATTATGGTTGGGTTAAATGGGATGGTGAAAATACTTGTTTAATATACAATCAGAGTGAGTAAATCTGCTTCTCAGTGACAGAAGATCTCATGCATTTGTTGAGCACTAGTCATAGATTCATCATGTGTGTCAGTGGGGATTTAAGCTCAAGGGGTCTCTGTCCTCTCTTGATAGCAATGGTCAGTTGGGACTGTTTAGTGAGAACTAACCAGTCTATTATTAGTCATGGCCCTTGTTCTAAATTTCCTTTTCTGGTTTCCTCTAAGCTGGGAAACCCATTATTAATAATATGGCATTTCTATTAAAACAAAGACCTTTAATCCTTGGCTTTTTCTGTCTTATCATTTGTCAGAGATTGTAGGCAAACAATAATTTTCCTTAACATGTTTTTTTATCTTGTGAGCTGACTGAGAAGGAATTTCATCAGCAGCCTTTGACAAGCTGATTTTAATGTTTGGGAGCTGCTTAGGGGAAAATAAAATTCCTGGCGACTGTCCTGTCTTAGTGCCAGGTCTATTCACATACCAGTGCCAGGTGAGGCTTGGCAAGACATGGGCACCAGTGTAACCTTACCGTACGTAATAGTTCAACTGATGGATGTATTTGACATTCCGTATTGTTTAGCCCGACCAAAGAAGGAGCTCAGGGTAATTTTTAAGTACACTTCAGGATTCTACAGGGCAACTCATTTGACTTTATATTAGTTAGGATTTAATTAGTTTACTGTTATTGATAAACCCATTTCTAATATGTTTGTGCACAGAGTGTATATGTGACTATAGAGGGACAGCGTACGGGGTGTGCGATGCGACAGGACGCTGCCAGTGCCGTCAGGGTGTGGAGGGGGAGCGATGCGATCGCTGTCAACCAGGATACCACTCCTTCCCAAACTGCCAGGGTGAGAAACAATCACCAGGCCAATCAGCATTCACCCCGCATGCACTGTAAAAACACAACCTCATCAGTGTAACGTGACTGAATTATTATGAAACATGACCTTTATTTTGGAAGAGATGGCCACGAGATGTTATAATGTAGATGTAAATAAATATAGCATACCAGCAAAGGAAATGGGGATATGTTTCCAAATGGCAGCCAGTAGTGATACTTTGGACTAATTACACAGTAAGGGTTGCTGTTCAAAGAATTTGAACAGTTTCTCCAGCAAGCTTGTGCTTTATTGTTACACAATAATTTTGTCTGCATGTACCTGGGTGCACTAGTTTCTGGAGCAGGAACACTTCGAGCAGGGCCATTTTTGGAGGGAGCTATTTTTAAGTCTATGACTTTTGACACTTGAACCTTGAACCTCTAAAGTGACCTTCCTGAGAAACACACACCATTATAATCAATTTAATCCTATCATCTAGCTTATTCCTTTTGAGTTGTTAAAGCTCCTTGCTAGTTCACAGTTTATATAATTAATGTTTTTATGTATTTTATGTTTTGTTTTGTTTTTTTACCAATGTTATGTAGATTTAAAGGAATCCTACAGTGCTATACACCTACAATTAATTATGATTGATTATTTGGATTCTAATGCAGAATATGGAGTATAAAACTGTAACATCACCCTCTTTCTCTTCCTACAGAGTGTCTCTGTGATGGGGCTGGCGTGGCTGACAATGTGTGCAGTCCAAGTGGCCAGTGTGTTTGCTTTCCCAGCTATGGGGGACAGGAGTGTGACGCATGTGCACCGGGCTACTATGGATACCCGGACTGTGCTGGTAAGTGGGTTGGATCCCTTTATGTCCACCAGTGAAACTACGAGAGATAAACCAATTGGGTGCATGTGATCTGAGTGCTGGTGGAAAAAATGTTGCTGCTGGTTTTACTGGGCATACTGTGGTCTCTTCTCATGACTCTGTGGAGCAAACATCATCATTCTCCCACAGTATCCCCTGAAAACTCTTATGTTGTCATCCGCATTGATTCATGTCATGTATTCTGCATGACACAGCATTTCACAGAGGGCTGGAACATGAGATACAGTATGTATATATGGACTGAATCATATTTCCAAGAATGGACAACTGGGAATCACTGAAGAAAATAAGATTCTAGACCAAATGATGATACACCACAGGCTTACATTTTTAGTTCTTACTTCAGCTTGTTTCCTGTCCCCAGCTTGCCAATGTTCACATGAAGGCTCATATGGCAACATATGTAACCCACTGTCGGGTCAGTGCCTGTGTCTCCCAGGGGTGGTGGGCCAGCAGTGTGACCGCTGTGCATCAGGACTCAGATTCCCCCACTGCTCAGGTAACCACATCAAGAACCATCATATTTACTAGCAACCGTTAGAATATTTAATATGGCTGGGTCTTTTTGATGGGGTTCAGTAATGTCCTATTGTTAAAGGATGTAATTTGTTTAATACGTTGATAGTTCCCTCTTGTTCCCCTTAATAGAAGAGTTTTGACACCCTTTGGGCCAAATTTGATAGTGTCCTACAGAAAGTAACTACACAATTTACTGATTTTCTAATGTTTCTTTTATTTTGTTGTGTATTCATTTTGTGCTTCTAGCCTCCATCAGTGTGTGTAACATGGCAGGAACTGAGGTCACTGATCCTCAAACGGTATGACACTCTCAATAACCTTTAGTTTTTTACTGTGATCATGTCTTTATTAGCTTTGATAACAGAAGTGTTCACAGTCTAAATCCAGCATTGGCCCTTTAGGTGTGGACTCACGTTACCTCAAAGTTATATAACTGATAACACAGATGTGTTGCTAAAACATCGTCCAGTTGATTTTTCAAGGAAGTGTTTTCCCCTGAAATGTAAATGCAATTAAAGTAAAGGAAAAGAGACTTCCTTCCATCTTGAGGAGGAAGAAAAACAACAACGAGTTTCTTGAAGGTCATTTTCGCCTCTATTTTGGAACGTATCCTATGTTGGAAAAACTGCAAATTTCCAGTAATTCAGAAAACTGGCATTTTAGTACAATATGCAACCGTTACAACTGATTTTAGTTGGATTGTAAACAAATATAAACTTTCAACAGTAGCTACTAGTCTCAACAATCCTAAGATTCCATATCTATTGTTTCAGGGCTCCTGCCGCTGCCTACAAAACGTAGAGGGAACCCTGTGTGACAGGTGTAAACCTCTCTACTGGAATCTGGCTACAGACAACCCTCGTGGTTGTATGGGTAAGTGACTGGAAATATAAATAGTACAGAAAACTATCACTTTTTGTAAAAGTTGTAAGAAATAAGAATAAACAAATACTTCCTGTCAGCCAAAGGTTCCCAGTCTCTTTTTTTCCTCCAGAATTATTAGTTCTAATCACTCAACCCATTATTTTCCACTACATTAAATTACAGTAGCAATCTGACAAGGTACTGATATGGGTCTTGGCCCCTCTTACCCAGAGGATATGTCAACATACCCCTGTCAACAAGGCCAGATCTGCCTTCCTGTCCCTCTGAGGGGAGCTGAAAAATAACACGTAAATACAGGCAAATTCCTGTTAACCGCTTTGAGTGTGGAGCTGCAAGTGAACCTGCGAGATTTCATGCTGTGGCTTTGCAGTAATGAGTAACCTAGGGCCACATTAAAAACAATACATCCCACAAAAAATACTCCTAAAAAAGTCCTAATCCAATTAAAATACTTGACTCACATTATCTAGCCAGTGAGGGAACAGCTTCAGGCTTTGTCCGGAAGCCTGTTTAATGTTACAGTTCTGCTCCCTAGCAAGAATGTTGCCACTACCATGTTGCCTGAAGACACAAGTAGGGGGAAAAAGAGCTTTTAATATCCTAAGAATGCCTGACTGGTGGTGGCTGGACATTAAGGGGAAGTTTTTTTCACTGGGTTGAAAGCAAGATGCCACAATAAATCTCCTCTGGACCTTTGATGTGCAGATCTCTGAAGATAGTGTGGTTTTGTGCTCTTGTGTTTCACCCATGAAAGTGACAGAATCCGGTAATCAGAGTCTGTTCACCATAGATCCCCCTTAATATTTTCTTAACTTTTCCTCCCTCTCTCTCTGTCTACCTCTCATTACAGAGTGTCAGTGTGATGTGAAAGGGACCCTGAGTGGTGTTGGAGAGTGTGAACAGGTGAGTATTTTATAACTACCTCCAGTGACCAATACACATCTATTAATCAAACTGTGATTTAGATTAGACCGTTATCGTAAAGAGTTTTGACTTAGAATTTTGTCACATTTTTGTCTTCTTGTCTGCTGATGATCTTTTTGTCTAGAAAAGTGGACAGTGCCACTGTAAGCCTAACGTATGTGGACATGCATGTGACACCTGTAAGGATGGATACTTCCTGCTGCAGAAAAAGATGTATTTTGGTTGTCAAGGTAAGACTTCCTTCTTAATGAAAAATTTATTTTGCTGGCCTTCAGGGGTTTTAACCTCTCATCTTACTGCAGTGATATACAGACTAAGTGTTCTCAGGTTTGGCAAATACGCCGTGACATCACCATTGAGTGTGGTTCCAGATGCAACACCCATCAGTGATGCTGGGGGGGTTAGAGTTGCAACACACTTCAAACCTTTAACCAGAGAGGTCAGGGAAACACTGCTTTTCAGTATGACTCTATAATAAATAACTTTTACTCTCCCTGATAGGTTGTCAGTGTGATGTAGGTGGTGCCATTGACATGGCATGTGATGAGATGTCCGGACAATGTCGGTGTCGGAATAATGTAGTTGGCCGCAAATGCAATGAGTAAGAAATGTCTGTCTTAAATATCATCATGCATTAAGATCCAGACGAAACATTTACATGAAATATTTTTGTTTTTTTGCAAATTGAGACTCTTATGAGACATAGTTTTGATTTAAATTTTATTAATTAATTTCTTGTTAGACCAGAACCAAGCTACTATTTCCCGACTCTCCACCAACTGAAGTTTGAGGTTGAGGATGGCACCACACCAAATGCCAGACCAGTGCGCTTTGGTTATAACCCCCAAGAGTTCCCAGATTTCAGCTGGAGAGGTTATGCTGTAATGTCTCCTGCACAGGTCTGTACATATTCACATCACAGTACCTTGGTATATTGTATACACTGATGTGACTATTCTAATAAATTACAGTATGTCTGGGAGAATTACAATTTCAATAACCTTATAGCTTCCTTTTTACAGTCTATTATGGTACAACCATGATTGTTTGGCTTTTTTCCTCTGCACTGATATTCCTGCTTAAAGGACACAACCTTTTATTACATCAGGGCTGATGAGGGAATGTTGACAATCAGCTCTCTTAGAACTAATGCTATCTCTCTTTAGCCGGAGGTGATCCTAAATCTTACCCTTGGCTTTCCTGGCCCTTTCCATATTGTAATGCGCTACTCCACCCTCCTACAAAAGGGGAGAGCACAAGTGAGAGCAAAGATCTTGGTGGTAGATGAAGCTGGCTTTCAGTCTTGCTGTGACTGTAAGTGAAGGGCACGCCTTCTTTTGACTGTACTTTCCTGTCTTCGCCTTTGATTGCTATACGTTGATTAACCCGCACTGTTTGCTTAAAGTTTCAGTGTGTACGTTGTAGTGGCATCTAGTGGTGAGGGCTGCGAATTGCAACCAATGGCTGACTCACCACTCCCCTCTCTCTTTGCACGCACGGATGAGAAGCTACTCAGCTCCTCTATCGGCTCTTTTGCTAAATAATACGTGTGATCCTCCATTTGTCCAAGGTCTCTTCTTACTCTTATGAACCAGACAACGACTACTACTACTACTTCTTCTTCTTCTTCTTCTCTTTTTCTTTGTACATATTCAACGTAGTGACGAAAAATGCTCTGTAAAGCGGTTTGTTCATTTGGGATACTGTAGAAACATGGCGGTGCAACATGGTGACTTCCATGTAAGGGGACCCGTGGTGGATGTAGACAGAAATGTCTCATTCTAAGGCCCCATCCAGTCTATTGCGTTTTCGTTTTAAAACGGAGACCTTTTGCTACGTTTGCACCTTCCGTCAGACCACAATGGCGAAAACGAAGACCTAAAACAGAGAAGTTTAAAAACGCTGCCGACCCCGTTTTTTGTTTTAAAACTGTTTTCCGCCTCAGCCGCTTTTAACTCCCGTGTTACATTCAGTAACAGTCCCAGCAGTGCGTTTTCAGTCGTTTTAATATAGACGGAGATAAATCCTCCTAAATATTACACACTGAACTTTTAAATTCTCTGCCCACCTGACATGATTTTTAACCTCTCTCTTAACATTATACTACCATCGTCTACTCAAACCTGTGCCATTGCAGTCAGCTGTGTGTCACTCTCATCCCTGCAGAGTGAGGTCAGAGTAACAGTGCATGTTGACCCAAAAGATCGGAGGCAGCACTTTTTCCGTGTGGTTCTGCGGTTCACTAACCCGAGCAGCGCCAGTGTGACAGGTAGCATCAAGGCTACCAATAACAGAGGCGCTGCAGGTAAGACTGCCTCTGACACTGAATTAGCTACATAATACATACATATCATATAATCAAATCTAACTCATCATTAAAGAAATAAAAATAAACAACCAATTTCCTTTGTGACATTTATATGCAAGCTGGTACATGTGTTTTCTGTGCTCTTAATTATGAATATGTGACATTATAGACATTTCTGCTTTGCTGTTTGGTAGGGTCAGATCAGAGTAAGGACATCATATTCCCTGAGAGTCCCTCCCCATCCTTCCTCACTGTCCCAGGAGAGGGGTTCGCTGAGCCCTTTGCATTGACACCTGGGAAATGGGTCATTCACATAAGGGTAGAGGGGGTTCTGCTGGTGAGTTTGTAGGGACGAGAACGATGTAGAAATCGTCATGTAAAAAGTTAAAAGAAAACAAATCTTCCTGTGTATTATTGCTCTATGTTAATTCTGTTGTTCATTTGTTCATCAGAGAAAAAAAAACCTTATGTGTAATAGGCTGAATGGTGAAGTACACATTGTCACTCTCACTCTCCAGGACTATTTAGTGCTGCTGCCCCGGTATTACTATGAGGCACCTTTGCTGCAGGAAAGGATCACCCAGCCCTGCACATACTTACCCAGTGCAAACAGGGATACAAAGTAATTCTTTCAAATTTCTGTCTCTATTTCATACTCACCACTCATGCATGACAATGGTAGGTTTTGTTTTCATAGCCATCCATCCTTTTCTTTATACTGCACTCACAGCTTATCATCTCCATATGCAGTTCCATACAGTTATTGGCTTGGTTCAGCTAAACCTAACATGATCATTCATCTCTCATAATAAATATGAGGGTTTATTTTTGTGTTTAAAACTGTACAGGTGTTTTTATAGCTATAATAAATCATAATATACAGATATACAGAGATGTGATATGTGCCAAAGGCTAAGGAGAGAAATCACCTAATTTTTCAGTAGATTTGTAATAAGCAGTACATTTGGAGAAAGGATAGCCATCAAAATGGCAAATATTCCTTGCATTAAACAGTATGCTAAGCAATGTTTTATAAATATTTTAGACTTGTTGTTTCCAGGTGAACTAAAACAGGATGATCATAACTTCCATCGTAACTATCTCTCACCATTCTTCCTGATTATTGCTATGCCTGTGTGTCTCAGCTGCCTGTTGTATAAGCATGTGGCCATGGATGGCTTTAGCTCTGCACTGGGCTCACAAGGAACACTCTCCAGCCGCAGCGGGCGCAAGAGGAGGCAGGCTCGTGTTCGGCGTCCCACCCCAGATCACCCTGAGATGGCCGCCCTCAATGGTAGACAGGTAGAAAGCCTGTATTTACACACAGACCAACATACAGTATAGATTTTTGACCAATTACTTTTGGGTTCAGTGTTTTGTTTCAATATTGTTTTGATCACCTTTAAAGCATGAATAGGCTGAAGACAAAGCTAACTAACAGACTGAGGTCCTAGGTAGTGTTGTAGTACTCGAGACTGGTCTTGGTCTTGAGACCGGTCTTAAGACCACTTTCTGATGGTCTTGGTCTTGTCTCAGTCTCGGACATTGAGGACTCAGGATTTTATTTCAAGACCAGTCAAGACCATAACTTTGGGAATATCAATAAATTGCTTTTGCATTGTCTGATTTGGTTAACATCCTAACTTTGATTGGATGTAAAACGTAGCTTGCTTGAAATGCAACCAATAACCCTAAATAAAAATGTTTTGTAACCATTAACGACTGTTACCCCTCCCCGCGATGGTAAGCATGGAAAAGGAGTGAATAAAGATTACGTTGATTTCAGCTCTTAGTGTTTGTATCTGGGTGTTTTAATGGGAATGTGGATCTTTCAGATCAGTTTGAGAAGTATCTACAATATGATCTCGTTCCACATTTTATTGTGTGTCATGTAATGTGGGGAACTAGTCTCGATCTCGCCCTCCTTTGGTCTTGGTCTCAACTGCTCTCAGCCCCTAAAAGTCTTGGTCTTGTCTCTGTCTCGATAAACTCTGGTCTTGGTGTTGACTTGGTCTCGGTCTGGGCGGTCTTGACTACAACACTAGTCCTAGGTATTTTCTTATCAGCTGTTCAAAGTCCAGAATAAAAGCAGGTTAATGGGCTTTTGGCAACTGGGGACTTTGGGACTTACTGCCCAATTAACTAAGGCTAAATCTTTCAATTCAATACTTGGACATGCTTTTATAATCTTCTACTGATTGCATTTTACCTACCATAATTTGTTTTGTCCTTTCATTGGAGTTCATTAAAATCAAATCAAATGACTTTGTGTGATCTGTGTCCTGTAGTCACAGCTCCAACTCAGTTTACGCGTGCCTCGTCCTGGCCCATACACCCTTGTCCTGGAGTATGCCAGCGAGGTGGACACTGTCCAGAATGCCAACATACTCATCAAAGTCCAGTCAGGTAGCCAGATCCTGGCCAGGGCTAACATATACAGTTGTGCCTACAGGTCAGTCTTGTATTTGTTTTCGTCAGCTTTTCAAACATTTCTTGTACTAGTATTTTGTTGATGTTATGTCTCTACAGTTTGTACAAATAATAACATCCTAGATCTAGAAAGTTGTAGGATATGTCTTATATTTCAGCTGCGTGTATTAATACTTGCAGCTTTTTGTGCCGGAGTGTCGCAGTGACCAGCAGCAATCAGGTGACAGTGTTGGAGCTTACTCACAAGACGGAGGTCCTTCTGCAAACTTCCACTGCATCATTCCTGTTGGTGGGAGAAAATGTTTCCACAAAATATTTATAATAGCTCAATATCTAGACATCGGCACAAAGTTTAAAATACATTTGTTTCTCCCTGTAGTATAAAGTGTATGCAGTCCCTGCAGAAGAGTTCTCCATTGAGTATGTAGATCCCAAGGTGCTGTGTGTCTCCACTAATGGCCGCTTCACTGAAGACAGGTGAGTCACCTTAAATAAACTTGCATGCTTTTGACATATAGTCACACAGAGAATTGTTCAGCACCCATGGATGTAAGCTGCAATTTAGGAGATGATGATACAAGACTAGACCTCTGTGTTGTGTTGTTGTTGTTGGAGTATGGAGACACACTGTTTTCCAGGTTCCACATTCCTCCAGCTGGGCAAGGTCATTTACCTGAGGCTGAACTGAGGGGCCAAACTCTTTCTTTCTTTCTCTGTCACACTAAAATTTCCTCTCATTCTCTGAAACTAATGACCGGGTTAGATGTTACAGTTACACATGTGTGTACAGCTGTCAGTGTGCAGTCCTGTCCTTGTACTGTGTAATTCACCCTGGACAGTTTAGAAAAAGCCTCCCCAAAAGGGGAAAAATGTGTCAACTCAGAAATAGTTGGAAAGGTACATTTTAACTAAGCTTAACATAACACACAAATACACATGCTTAAAAAAACTGAATTCAATGATTAATATAAAATCATGTTACTCTTTGTGTTTGCTGATTGCATTGATTGATTGTTCACATTCCCTATTTTACACACACTGCTGCCATAGTTACAGAATATTAAAGCTATTGTAAGTAATGTATTCCAGAAGCATTTTTTGTTCTATTTGATGAAATTCTCTTTACATCCCAACATCAACCAATAAATCAAATGCTCTGAAACAAAAATGAAAAAAATCGGTATCTGTGGTTATCGCAGGACTGTTATAAGCATTACCAAACATTTCATTCAGTCTGAATTTTGAAACATTTTGACAATTTGTACCAATTCAGTTTCTAAAGGCCAATTTGTAACAAGAGGGATATTCAGGGAAGTAAGTTTGACCAAATATTGGAGTGGAATGGGGAGGTAGATGTAGGAAGGAGGACACACAACATGAAGGCAGAATGTTAGCCTGTAATGCTAAAGCTTTCCTTAGTGTGTATATTTAGTGTGTGATGTCAGGCTTGTCTGCACATTGATGATTGTGAGTGTGATAAACAGAGGCTTTAAAGATTTAAAAAAGGATTGTTGGAGATTAATGTTGTTTCATCAGTCACAACCTCTGATTGGCCACTGACCCCTCTACTAACAGGTCACGTTGTTCTGCCCGCAAACACTATCAACAGGCCTTAAGTAACAACATCTTGTTGCTGTTTAATGTTTCCAGTCGGCACTGCTCTCTGAGGCAATTCGACAAGCCAACCTCAGCCTGGATTTTGTATGCTGCCCGTGATGGACAGCTATCTTCAACACCAGCTGTTTCTCCCCAAGGACGAGAGAATGAGGATTGGAGACAGAGACGACAGACCGGGGTGTTCCCTGTCCGTGAGCCTCAGAGTGATGGGATACTGCTTAAATTCCCTCAGGTAAAAACCATGTATTGCCTTTCCTAACCTTGTTGAATAATTTGAGCTTTTCTGGACTTCACCCTGCTGCTGGGAGTTGGAGACATTCAATGAGTGCCGTCTGCCCTGACTTTAATTGATCACGACTGTTTGACGCTTAACATTCCTCCTCATTTTTTTTCCAGACAGAGATCAATTTCACTCCCAGGGTGCCCCTCCCGGGCAGGTACGTGGTTGTTGTCCATTATCACCAGCCTGAGCATACCTCCTTCCCGGTGGAGGTCCGTGTGGATGCTGGGCGTGAGTGGAAGGGTGAGTGATTTGAAGGAAGTGGTTGGCTTTCTCCTGTCTAATGAAATGAAATTAAGGGATCTATTGGCTCCCATTGGATATTAGCTCTATATATGTTGGTTACTCGGGCAGTGACTGGGAAAGTTATTCCTCCTTAAGAGCAGATTAAGTCCCTGGGCTCATGACAGGATGATCAAAGGCCTTGGACACACTTCCTTAAATGGCTTTAAAGGAGAGATGGATTATTGTGCAGCATGCTAGGGTTTCTTCCTCTTTCTCTACTTAACTTTGGCTCTCCTCTTCTCTTGCAGATTCAATAAATGCATCCTTCTGCCCTGCGGTCTCAGGCTGCCGGGAAGTTGTGATCGCTGATGGCCGCATTGCCCTTGACTTTGACCAGAATTCTTGGCAGCTGCCCACCATCTCTGTGGTCGTGCCACCTAGGAAGACACTTATTCTGGTCAGTGGTTTATGTGATAAGTTCACCCACTAGATTAAAAGAAAAGTAAATGATAGAAATATGGTTGGGAAAATCCAAGAAATTAATAAGATATACCTGTGCAAAGTCTTCAGGTTTGAGGAGTCTGCTTTTTTGCACTTGAGTTGTTCATGTTGAGTACTTGGCATGCTGAGTTCCTCTCTCCTTGTGTTAGCCCTATCCCCAACAACAACAATGAGGGGACTGTATTCTACCTGGCAGCCCCACACAGCTTTATAAAAGCTGAGCTTCCAACCAATGTAAGGCAGGGGCTTTTCTTGCCTGTTGTTCACCTGCTTCACTGTTCCTTCTTTAGATATAACTACACAGAAAAATGGCTAAAACACTTCAAATCCTCAGCTTATCTGTTTATCACGATATGCATCACACTGACAAATCTGTTTAATCGTGTTATACTTTGTATCCTTTGTATAGGATTATATTTTGCTGGTTCCAGATAGCAGTTATACCCCAGATCTCCTGAAAGAGAAGCTGCTGGATAAATCTGCAGATTTCATTCACCAATGTAGAGGAGAAGGTTTCTTTATTGAGTAGGTATCCACCATGTCTGTGAAATGCGCTGGACTCAAATCTATTTGAAATGGTACTTTAAACATTTAATCAGTTGTTTCAGCTCTTCTCTCTTGTAATCTGTGATATTATGTTTGAGTTTTGTTTTTATTTGGAAATGGTGCCCTCTAGCTGTGTTAATGGAGTACTGTACCACATCCATATTAAAAAAAACATAAATGTTTCTGCCCCCTCAGCCCGAGAACTTCTTCCCAGTTCTGCCGAGACTCTGCACGCTCACTTGTAGCAGCCTATAATGATGGAGCTCTGCCTTGCAACTGTGACAAGTCCGGCTCTACAGGGACCACTTGTGATCCGACTGGAGGACAGTGTCCCTGTAGGCAGCATGTCATCGGTCGACAATGCACAAAGTGTGCCACTGGATACTACGGTTTCCCCTACTGCAGGCGTGAGTAAATGGTTACTTCTGACTTCAACAGCCGGTTAAAGGTGTGAGAGCTTTCTGCTCTCTAACCTCTAGTTCATTTGAAATGCATTTGAAATCAATAGTCAACAAATGAAATCCCCTCTCTCCTCTGTGCAGCGTGTGAGTGTGGCCGACGACTCTGTGACGAGGTGACAGGACGATGTATCTGCCCTCCTCAGACCGTCAAACCAACCTGTGATGTGTGTCAGAGTCAGACTTTCAGCTATCACCCTTTGCTGGGCTGCGAGGGCTGTGAATGCTCTCCAAATGGCATCAGAGCAAACGCAGGGCTGGACTGTGACCGCACTACCGGACAGTGCAGGTAGGTGGAAACCTACTCCTTACAAGGCTGTGCGTGTATTA